GTACCAAGTATCCACCCTAAACATGTGGCACACGGGCTTCTTTTTATAAGAGAATAAATATTTGTTTGTTAGTAAAATGATTCTATTATAATTTTATTAATTTTAAAGATAAGCCTTTGCTCTTTCGGATGTCGAGCAGTGCAGCACATATTACTGAAGTTCTTTCAGAACAACCAAGCAAAATAGGCTAATTCCAGCATTTATACACAGGTATCAGATCATATGAAATATTGTGTTTATGTTATGAAAGCTTATGTACTTTTAATATATGACAAATATCTGTTTTGCCGTTTAAGCTGAAACAATAATTTCATTATCGCAATGTTAGTAGTTTGAAATTCTGTAGTCAAATTTTATATAGGAATAATAAATAAAATAAGATTTAATGTGTGTAAAATATAAATGTACAAATTATAACAAAATACGTACAGCAAGCAATAAAATGCTGATTTTAATTCATTTTTTATTTATTTATTTTTTTTTTTAGCAATTTAAATAAGTGCCCTGCTGAGAAAATTATTTGAAGTCAAATTACACACTTTTTATATGAAATTTTGTTGCTTCTAGGATTACCTAAAAATTGTTTTAAAATTTTTCCTATATTTTCTATTTTTGCATATTGTGACAGCAGTAACAAAGCGCTAGAAGTATATAAAAGTATCACATGTGCAATGCGAGTAGAAATTATTTGATATCTATTGAGATAAAAAACTTTATGCTGCACAGTTCTTCGCTGCGAAAGCCGCCGCCTTTTATTTAAAATTTGTATGTATTAAAATGTTTTCCGTGGCTTTCCGAGGGCTCACCAGAGATTTTCTTATGTCCTTCGAGTTTAGGTGGTGGCCGTCAACATCATGTTCATGCTTGGCGCAAAATCTTTGCTAAAACCAATTTAATATAATATGTCAAGATATTATTATCCCTGGTTCTCAGTAGCAGCCAGTGATTTGAAAACTGATGAACTGTAAGTAAATATTTCGATCATATGGCTTCAACTATCTATAATTTATTCATGTGTTTTTTCATAAACTTTTCATTTTAGTTATTTCTTTTGTTTTTTTGCTAGCTAATAGAAAATTCTGAATCTAAACATAAATATATTCAGCCTTGCTGAAATATAAGGAATTATACATACATATAATATTCAGCAAGGCTGGAAAATATTATGTTTATTGGCTTGTCTCTTTATATATTGGATTAGTTATGGCTGGAAGATATACTTATGTATATGTCATAACAAATCATTGAAAAATAAGTTTATAATAGAGCTGTAAGATTTGGCTAAGTTAAAACTGTTATTGATTAACACAGTCCGCCTATTCGCTTATTAGTTATATAAACGCCTCGCTCTATTAAACCGTTGCTGCGCAGCGAGCTACTATATATATATGTGTAAGTATATATACATATATATATATATATATGTATATTAGCTAGCGTAACCAATCGAACTAATCGAAATGCCACCACATTTGACCCTCCTCCGCTGTCGCAGTCCGCAGTCCAATCAGATATTTGATAACGATGCGAGCCGAGTGAGCGTTTCGACCAGGTCTAAACACTAATTAGCTAATGCATGCCCAAATATTTGTGACGGCTGCCTTGGTTCACAGGGCCATTGATTTATGCTCATATTTTGGGCGGGTTACAGCTAGCTGCGTGTGGCAGGCGCATTTCCCATGCATGTCTAATACAATACGTTATATACATGTGTGTGTATATATATATAGAGGCCTTATCGCAGATGCTGATTAACTGATTTATATGGCTTGTAATTTGTAATGCATTGATCACTGCGCATTCGAGTCCATAGCTGATAGACAGCGGGTTAAGCTAATGTCATTGAGCCTCGTGAGTTTGTCAAGCTAATTGTAGAACATATACATACATACATACGTACATGTATACATATGTGAATGTATATTATTTCTACCCGAATCACAATGTAATTATATAACAATTATGGGCGTGGTCAGGCAGAAACTTTGTCGCATGTTGCCGATGTTGACTTCCAATGCAATTAGACAAATGAGGACGCCCGGCTAGAATGAGGGAACTTTGGCTACACGGAACTCTCGTGATGCTGAATGTAAGATCGATCTATATGGTCACTATATAGATATACCAATATTTTGTGCTTGGCTGCGTTCAACGTGCACTTAATTGCTGCTGGCTCAATTACACTGGCCAACACAACTGATGCACCCGCCATGATATCCATACAAGGTATTTGTTATATTGTTATTATTCTATTAAACGGATGCTTGATGATGAGCCTTGCGTGCCTCTGTACATACATCTAGGTATATAGATGCACATACATGTGTATAGGTATTTGTGCAATTTGTAGCACAAGGTGCAACGGAAACGGATGCTCGCTGACAATTAAATGACATTAGCCAATGCGCATTGATACGTGGCCTCAGCGAATCAGCAAATTTGCCTAGCTGGATGCCGCTTTTATGGCCGCCAGACACGCGTTGGCCATTAATTAGCGCCATGCCCATAAAGCGGGGAGGCAGTCTAGTTTTTAACTACTCATAAACTTGGCTCTAAGGTACTTACATATCGAGTGGATATATGTATATATGCTGGCTTTATGGCCAGGCTCGTAAAAACAAAAGACTTAGGCAACGAACTTTGTCGGCTTTCGTTTATTTGTTGCTTGTGTGGCTTTTAACTGCTGCTGCTGCTGCTGCTGCTGCTGCCGCTGCCCCAGCCGTCGTTGTCGTACCAATAAATTAACATGCCATTTCACGCCTCAATACAAGCTCATAACTCATGCGTTCAATAACGAACAAATGCCGCATAACAAATGCCCAAAACTCTGCCCAACTCAGCTCAACTCAAAAGAACTTTCAGTTGGGCAGACGCGCGCACGTTTTGTATTGAAGACGCATCGAAATTTAAAGAGCAATTCATAAGCATAAATGGGCATTAGATTATTATTATATGTATGTGTATGTGTATGTGTTTGTATGCAGTCGTATATACACGCACCCACACTCAATTTCATTTACGATTTCTGTCCAATCATCTGGCCGCAATTAATCAAACTCTTGGCCCGTCAAATACCGTTCTACAATTTTCACTCACACAATTAGAGAGAGAGAGAGAAGTATTTGTTTATTATTTTTTTTATATATTTTTTCATAAATTATTTTATTTACTTTTTTGTTGTTTTTTTTTTGTTGTATTTTTTGTTGTATATTTTTCTGGTGATTGCCTTTAAATTTAAATAAACGTATGTTCAATACATTTATCGCATATGCTTACAACATACATACATATCCGTAGCTCTAGAAGTAGGTATACATATACATATTACATATATTTGTTTTTGTTTTCCGTTTTGTTTTTGTTTACGCACATAAATTAAGTTAAAAACTAAATTTGTTTTATATTTACACAGAACTTAGGCGATTATTTTGTAGTTATATAAATACTTTTTATATTCCTTATTTATTTTTTTTTTTTTGTATTTTTTGTTTGTTTATATTCAACTATCAATATGGCCAATTACAATACATTTATCGCATATGCTTACAACATACATACATATCCGTAGCTCTAGAAGTAGGTATACATATACATATTACATATATTTGTTTTTGTTTTCCGTTTTGTTTTTGTTTACGCACATAAATTAAGTTAAAAACTAAATTTGTTTTATATTTACACAGAACTTAGGCGATTATTTTGTAGTTATATAAATACTTTTTATATTCCTTATTTATTTTTTTTTTGTGCTAAAATTATACAAAAGTTGCTAACAAATGTTTTTTTTATATATATATTATTTTTAGTTTTGCTTATATATTTTTTACAAATTGCCTTTAACATTGAATTGATTTAAAAGTATTTGATGTTTATTAATAAGACTTAGCCCTAAACATCGAACATATGCAGCTATATATAGCTCTTTATATATGTACATATTCTGTGTGTGTGTGTATATATTTATATATATGTATATTTATATATATGTCTCACGTACACTGTTCTACAATTTGACTTACTTTTGTTTTACTTTTGTTGCTCTCCCCTCCTCTTTGTCTGGCTATTTGTTTATTTAAATTTAAGTTTAAGTTTAAGTTTACTTTACATTAATTAAATTTGCATTTAAATTTATGTTTTCTTTTCCTTTTCTTTTGTTTATCACGTCTGTTTGTTTAATATCTAAAAATTTAACTAATTTACAGTTTCAAGTATTTTTGCAATTTACAATTGCATTGCATTAATAGGACAAACATTTTGCAGTTGTTTTTGTTTTTGTATACAAAACATTTTTGTTTGAATTTTGTTTTGTTTTTTGTTTTAAATTTATTTTTGTGTTTTTTGGACGTGCATTTTGTTGAAGTTAATTTTAATGCTTAGTTATCGCTAGTTTCTGTGTGCTTGTTGCTGCTGCTGCTCTCTGCCTCATACATACATACATATATACATATATTAATATTTATGAATTTCGCTTTGTTTTTGTTTTGATTTAATTTATATTTTATTTTATTTTTATTCAGTTTTTGCCTTTGTTTATATTTATTTTTGCTGTTTGCTGATTTTATGGCAGTTCATAAAGCACAATTAAATACGCCGAATTTGCGTTAAGAAATTAAATTAATTAAGCGAAAAATAAAAAACAATGAGTTCATACAAACGCATTCACGCACACACAATCACTCACACACACACACACACACGAGAGAGCAATAAAAATAATATGTGCGGCCCTTTAATTAATTTTAATGGGCTTTTGTTTTAACTGCTGGCCGACGACGAAAACTTAAATAATTAAAAATTGCACGCAATGTTTACAATTAGGAATAGCCAGCACTTGGCTGCCCGCACGCCCGCTGCCCCCGCACGCCCTCTGCGCCACAGACAAGACAAAGTTCCTAAAAGTTGAGTAGGCATTCGCTTGCTGCGTGTCTCAAAGGTCCTGGCGACTCCTGCTGGGGCTATGGCTGTGGCTGGAGCTGGAGCAGGAGCTGGAGCTGTAGCTGCGGCTGCAGCTGTGGCTGTAGCTWGTGTGAGTCCTCAGTTTGGCATTGTGTTTGGAAATCGAAGTCAGTTGTTGATGTGAAACGGTTCTAGCTGAACAAGTTGCTGTTCAGGTTGTTCCCGCTCCATCACGTGTAGTCAGTGCGCCAAGTGCCCTGCAAGACGCGAACAAGCAAAAGGGAAATCCCAAATTGAAGCATTAATAAAAACAAAGCTCTTATAAAACGTTCTCTCTCTCTATCTCTCTCTCTTGCTCTCGCTCTCTCTTGGAGTGCTTCTCTTATACTCACCATTGAGCTGAGTCCCAAGTGGTAGGGCTGCGAGTGGGGCACTACGCCGCCGCCGAGCGAACCGGCCGTGGAGAAGCCACCCTGCAGTCCACCGGAGGCGCCCAATGCGCCCATGCCGCCGGTATACCAGCTGCCGTGCATGTGCGCATGTGCCGGATGCAGTCCGCTGGAAAGATGTCCATGTTGCGCTGGAATGAGCCAAATGACGAATATTCAATGTTAAACAATCGTTCGTTGGCTCAGTCAGTTGGGATGTTTTGATGCTTACCCATGGAGGCTGAGAAGCCGCCGCCGAAGCCCTTGGATGGATCCAGTGGCTTAAAGTCGCCCATGCCCAGATGTCCGCCCATCGGCAGGCAGCCGCCGCCCAGGCCCTTCTTCTTCTTCGACTTGGAGCTGAGCTTGCGATTACGCGTTTGTATGCCCTCCTTTTTCATGGTAAGTGGACGATTGACCTGCATGGAGAGGAAGAGGAAGAGCAAGAGCAAGAAGAAGACGCAGCTGTTAGTTGTGGGTGTTGCAACTAGGGGGAAAAATCAATAAACTGTGTCTGCCGACGGCAACAGCAGAAATGGGTCAAATTTATGCAAATTCATTGCGCGGCCCTTTTTGGCCGGAAATGCCGCTAACTGCACACGCTGTCTGTTGCAACTGGCAACGCACTGTGCAACAGCCCTGTGTGGCAGCAGTCGGGAACCGGGAAGTGAAAATGAAGTATTACAAGCATTTCTACACGATCAGATAAGCGACATTTGCGAATGCGATTAGTTGGCGCTGATAGCAAAAGCGGACGAGCGACGACCAAAGGCTGGGAGAGAGGGTGACGGTGAGAGGTGCGGCGGCGGGCAGGGTGAGGAGTAGGACCAAGCTACTTTTTCTCTCCCTCTATCTCGCTCTTTCTTTTCTTTTTTTTTGTTTTTTTTTTTTTTTTTTGTGAGTCGCTTGGCCATTGTTGAGGCTGCCCTGGCTGCCGCTTCATATGCAATTTCTTATCACTTGCGAACATCTAAGCAGCGGCAGCGGCAGCAACAGCAGCAACAACAACAACAACAATTGCGCTACAATTACAATATTGAGTTACCCATTCGTCGGACGACAAAGAAAAAGTTACATTATATAT